ATCCCACCGCGGAGGACATCAAGAAGGGTTAAGTGCGGGGCAGGCGTGCCCCTGCCCGCCGGGCAGAGCAGCCCGAGCCACCACCACCCCCCGCCCCCTGCCCCTGGCACCAGCGAGGCGGGGGCTCCCTGTGGGGTGGTTGGGGACAGGACCCAGCTCCAGAGGTGACAATCCAGCCTTTGTTTCCTTTGTGCGGAGGCCAGAGTGGGGCCGGGCTTTGCTGCCACACAAAGGCATCTCTTGGTGGGGTTTGGTCCCTTTGTCCCCGCTCTCAGCCCAGGGCTGGGGATGGAGGTGAGAGGTGGGTCCCGCTGGTGTTTGGAGGCGTCCCCTCTCTCTGCCAGAGGGTGCGGGGATGGCACAGGGCTGGCGTGCAGGGGCTCTGCTGGCGTCAGGGTCAGGGGGCTGGAGCTCGCAGGGTGAGGAGCAGCGTGTCCCCCAGCATGGGGACTGGGCCCTGTTGACAGGTCCTGTGCCTGGGGCGCACCCAGGCACCGCGGGGGAGCCCCGGGGTCAGACGGAGCCTCCTGCAGCTCCTGCCTGGCACCCTGCCGAGGTCTTACTGCTCTCGCTGGGGAGAGGCATCACCTGGGGGGAATAGGTGTGGGCTGGTGGCTTGCCTGGAGGGACTGAGGTCCTAAGAGTGGGTGAGAGAAGCTGGGCAGCCTGGGTTAACCCCAGCTAGCTGCGGGTGGGAGGAAAGGGCTGCTTGTGCTCACCTGGCCCCAGGAGCCCCCCAGTGCCCCCCGGTCTGTGCACGCCTCTAGCGGTGCCTGGGAATGCTCCAGAGCAAACCTGTGAGCATCGTCTGGAGCAGCTGCCAAGGGCAGCTGGGGCAGGCGCAGGCTGGGGGCATGCCAACCAGTCCAGGAAGCTCCTGTTTGATGCCTGAGGCTGTAGGGCGCTGGGTGAAGTGGGCGCTGGGTGAAGCGGGCTCTGGGTGTCCCTGCCTGCAGGGTCGGAGGCATGTGCTCAGAGGGGGGTTGCTGATGCGGGAGCCCCCGCCACCCAAAGGCTGCTGTGTGCCCATCGCTGCCTGTCTGTGCAGGTACAGGAAGGCCGCGCTGAAATGGCACCCAGATAAAAACCCAGACAACAAGGAGTATGCCGAGCAGAGGTTCAAGGAGATCGCTGAGGCCTACGAAGTGCTGTCGGACAGTAAGAGGCCATGGTGCTGTCTCGTGTATCTGCCTCGGCCCTTGGGGCTGCTTACCTTGGGGTGTCCTCCTGCTGGGCTCACCCAGGTGGCATCCCTGGACATCCCCGGGAGGTAGTAGGTCCCTCCAGCTTTACTGCCTGGCTTGTAGGGCTTGGTTACCTCCCCACGCATCCCCCGAAACGGCTCTTGGGAGAGATGCTGGGGTGCTTTGGGATGAGATCTCCCCAGCGGGGCTGAGGCTTGCGTATCCTCGCCCAATGCTCCAACTTACGTTTGGGAGCAGTGCTGGTGCGGTGGGGGCTCGTGCCACCCCCCTCCTCTTGCTGTCCTGCACCTCCTTTGGTCCTCTTGCTGTCCTGCAGCTCCTTTGGCCAGGGGAAAGCGTTGGTGCTCCTGCCTGTGCCACCACTCCTGGCCCCGTGCCTGGCAGCCGGCTTCCCTGCAGCCCCCTGTCTTTTCCTTCCAGAGCAGAAGCGCGATGTCTACGACCGTTACGGCAAGGATGGACTCATGGGAGCAGGTGAGTGGGTGAGCAGGGCCATGGGGGGTTAGTGCAGTTCCGGATACGGCCCCATCTGAAGACCCGGTGTGGGTCTGTGTCCCCTGGGGCTCCCCGCCCTTCGGGGGTTTCCCACCCGGGGGTCCACTTAACGCTGAGCCTCTTCCCTCCAGCTGGACCAGGGGGTTCCAGGGCTGACGCTGGGGCCCCTGAATTCACCTTCACCTTCCGCAGCGCTCACGATGTCTTCCGGGAGTTCTTTGGGGGGCGAGACCCCTTCGCCGACTTCTTTGGTGAGCGTGGGGCTGGGGGGTGCTGGGAGCTGGCTCTGGGGCACCTCTCTGGCCCTGGGGCAGCCAGTGGGCTCAGGGACAGGGTGCGTGGCCGGCCCTGGGAAGTGTCCCCATGGCAGTGCCCTGCTTCTGGCTCGCCGAGCCATGGGGGCTCCCTGCCTTCCAGATGAGATGCTGCCCTTCTCTGAGCTGCGAGGACATGGTGCACGGCACCACGGAGGAGGCCACTTCTTTACCCCCTTCCCAGGATCCTCAGGTAGGAGGCACTGCCAGCTCCTACCCAGCAGGGGAGTCCCGGTTCACCACGTCCCCCTGCGCAGGGTCTGTCCCCTGCCTTCCTCATGCCCCCCACCCTGGCACTGACCTTGTTGCTCCCTTCTCCAGATTTCTTTGCCTCGTCCTTCAGCTCCGGCGCTGACGCAGGGCTGGGCTTCCGCTCCGTCTCCACCTCCACCACCTTCGTTAACGGCAGGCGCATCACCACCAAGCGGTGAGGGCAGTGCCGGCCCACCTCGCCCCCGCAGACCCCCCTCACTGCCAGGCCTCGGAC